TTTTTTTTTTTTTTTTTTTTTTTTGATAAGAGCCTTTTTGAATTCAGATATCTCACTTCGTTCGTGCGTGAGATGGTTTGAACGCTGTATTGAACTATCGCGGTCCAGATTTCTATCTACAGTGAATTGCGATAATATTGCAACTGTGCGATACGCGCGTTTGCTTGAAATCGCGTTGACGAATCGATGTATCGAACGTTAATGCAGTGTCGTTGTCAATCGTACGGAAATATCGCGCAGAAGATGATAAGGTAGACAAGTTTGCGTAACTGAGGCGAACAGAGGGATCTTGCAAAGTATCGCGCTTTTCAGATTCTCGTTCATTCAGTGTCTTCCTGAAACTTGTTTCTACATTTTTAACAATTTTGCAGATTGTAAGGCTACACTGGCAAGTAGGAAGATTAATTGAGTTAAGAACAATTTTGAGACAAGCAAAATGAAAATGCGTATTTTCTATCCACCTGTTTCCGTTAACAACAATTTTAGAATCGAAGCACTTGATCGATCAAAAATTTCTTTCAATCGTTCGACGAAATCGAATGGCTTCTTTCATATCAAAAGTAAAATATTGGCTTGGCAACTAAGTGGTTGCGGACCGTGTCATTAGTTGGTAATGGCAAAATCCGCAGTCACTTAGTTGCCAACCCAATATATTGGCTGCATCTTAAAAAATCATTCTCATAGAAATTCCGGAAGACTTCGAACTATAATATTTATAAGAAACGTAGGCGATATACGAAAGCGTAATTGCATTGACGAATCGACAATTACTATCGTTATCTAACTATACTTTTTTATTTCTACAACGGAAGACGCGTAAATTTGTCCAATTTAGACGAGTTTTCCGCATGAATTTTCGGCTGATAGAATTGACTATTATTTAATTTATTTTCCTAATTATACTTTTTTATTTCTACAACGGAAGACGCGTAAATTTGTCCAATTTAGACGAGTTCTCCGAATGAACTTTCGGCTGATAAAATTGACTATTATTTAATTTATTTTCTTAATTATACTTTTTTATTTCTACAACGGAAGACGCGTAAATTTGTCCAATTTAGACGAGTTTTCCGCATGAATTTTCGGCTGATAGAGAGGGATCTTGCAAAGTATCACGCTTCGTCTGACTTATCGCACTTTCTATCACTTGAATACATAAAATTCTTGCCTGTCCAGAGCCACCGGTAATTAAGTCGTGTCTCGACCGATTTTACTAGCAACTTGATGAATTTCTTGCATACTAAGATCAATTAATTCCTTGACAGTTAATAATCTCGTACTTTGACATTAAAAAGTGCCAATTTGTACGAAGTAGAGCAATCAGTTTTGAGTGAACCCCGAGCGACTGAATTGATTTAACCCACGATTTACGTTCGAGAATTTTGGGCTGATTTACGTTTGGTCCGATCATCGTACTACGGGCTATGCCCGTGGTTGTAGGTTAAGGGGTCAACGTAAGACGATGTCGAACGATGGATCGTACGAAATGGAAAAACGGTGTTGAATGGAAAAATAGTATATCGCGAGAAGAGTTGTTCATCGACTTACCTCTAACAGCTGGCTCGTCGTCGATCTGGAATTTCAAGGAAGCTGCCCTCCTGGAGAACCTGAGCGTGTGCCACATATCGTCGTTCAGACCTTGTCCGGCGACCAGTGTCTGAAAATAAAGGGAAATATATGGCATTAGTGAAAAGGGAAATACGCGTTTAACAGGTTTTTCTTGCTGCTTGCGACGGAGATCTGTTATTATTTTTGAACAAAGCGAGAAGCCAGGCTGGAGCTTTTAATTAAAATTGCTGTGTGCGAGCGCTTGTTGAACCTTATAACTCGTTACGTAATTAAAACATTTTTCAAATTTTTCATTCTCGCATTACGTTCGTCAAAGTATTTCTCATACTTAAAGCAATTTCTCCTACTTATATTTTTAATGCTGTTCGCATCTATAGAAGCCCACCACACGAATCGGATGACTTAATATTAAATTTGTATTATTATAATACAAGTCAACAGCTACTCGACTAATTTGACTAATTTTATAATTACTCGAGATCGGATAAAAAGTGGCGATATTATCGTTCGCGGTGAATCACCACGGAAGGATAATTCCAAAGCTGAATTTGTCTCGAACTTCGATCAAGCGAGTTTAATTAAATTAGGATTCCTATGAACCGTTTCGGCCAGGAACCACGTTCCACAATCAAAATCTCGCTCTCATCGTAATCAGAATTATAAGCTGGCCGCAAGCTTGAAACCTGCGTTCCATTCTTCGGCTTACGGGTCGCCTTCAAACGAAATTGATTGCGTGTTGCAGGATGAAACAGCTGGAACGCCGAGGAAATTCGCGCGATGAAAATATCTCGGGCGGGAACGTGCCGATTGAATTACACCGTGCGGATGCAATAATGGACACTTGAGCGTGAGCAATTAGCACGCTGCGATCGCCGGCCATTAAGAAAATATAACGAGGCTATTTTTCAAGGGTTGTTCATTAAGCCCTTAACTCTTTCCTGAGCTTAATGCTTCTCCTTGAACTTCAAGCTTCTCGTTTTCTAGTTTTCCACGCGGCGTCGCGATATGTTCGTTACGTAACAGTTGATTTCTAATTACAGCTAATTAGCAAGAAACTGTACTAAGCCGATCGATTTCAGATAATTTCATCGATTGCGAAGTAATAAATTTAGAAACAGAATTTATTTATTTCGTCGAAGGTTGTCCGAAAAGTGCGTTTCCTTCGCAGACACGTCTTTTGCACAACAACGCGTCTTTGCGCAAACATGAGATCTAATCTGTCCAACGTTGTGACCCTAATTCCTAACTTGATAAAATAATATAAAACGAAAGATGTACATCCGTTGTTTCTTTATAAAACGAAAGAAACTTTCCGGGCGACCTAGTAGAAAGCCGCGGAAACGTCCACGTGGCTTTTCAGATACATTGAGGAACGACGAGAAGCGAGTGAGACGGTGTCAAACAGACCCAACAATCTCGTTACAAATAATATCTTTATATCTTTGTCGATAGAAGGCATCGATTTATGTAGCGACAGGGTAGTTTCTGAATTGGTAGGCGCGTTTTCTGCCATATCCGGTTGTTACGGTTTGCACTGGTTTGGCACGAACACTGCGTAGGAAAATGGTCATCGGCCATCTGACGAGGCGAGCTCAATTTTTGCTCTACTTTCCAAGGAATCGAGAGCCCTGAGGCCTGCAAACGGAAAACCTGAAATTCTACTCTGTCGAACGGAGTTCGCGATCAGCTTTCCCATTACAATTACAATTCTCGAGTATACTGCAGGGAATGAACGTGTTCTAATTGCAATAAAAATTATTCTATTGCAGAATTAGCGCAGTGGATCGACATTATAAAAGATCCTGTGACATATAAATCGATCGTATCGTGGACGATTCGTAGGAGAAATTTTCGAGGACTCAGCCGGAGCTCTGTATTCTCTGTATTCTCACAATTTTGCACGGCAAAGGAATTATAAGCGAAGCACGTGGGAAACGTCGTGTTAGTTTCAGATACGGAAAGAAGGGAAGTACTCGTCGATGGAACGACAGCGCGTGGAAATATCGCTGAGTCGATTGGCCGAAACGTGGAGTATCGTTTGGGAGTTTGCACGCACGACCGACGTATGAGGCAGTTTGAAATAATTTTCGCCCAACGACGAACGAGTCCGTCTGCGATTTATGGCAGCGGAAAGCAACGTGATCAGTGGGACGTGTGTTCGTCTCGGTCGGTCGCACTCTATGACGGAATTTCGAATTCCACTTGTGTCGTAGGTGGCATTTTTCTATCGGCCGTGTGGTAGCCCGCGACACCTACAAAGCACGCAAATCGTCCTACCTTTTACCTTCGCGCGCTCATCAATTAATAAACAGGAAATGACAATTAATAAATAAGAAATTGTAATTATTCATTTTATATTCGGTAGAAAAATTTCCATTCTCACGACTTATGGGGGCTGTGCTTTAGACCAGATTGTTATATTATTATCAGTATTATCGTTTTGTTTTATTAAATGCCGAAAACACGACAAGTTCGACCGCTTTTTCATCTTTGCACTCGTCCCATTTCATGGTTTTCCGGGTAAATGGTAACTTCTTTTATTCCCAGGGATTATCGCTCTTAAATAACGTGCTGCGAGAATGTCTCATTCGCAAGGAGCTGGGAAGACGGCCATTCGTTTAGCGCGCACAGTAAACAAAATCTTACGATTCGACGAGAAGGTAACGCGACAAAAATGGAATTTTCTTGAAGAAACGTACAAGAGGATTGTAAAGGGAGAGCGGCGTGGCGATTACGGCAAATCCACAGCTTTGGCTGCGTGTGTATTTTCGTTACGCCAGAGGATAGGTGAAATGTATGCACGGTCCCGTTGTTCAGAGCTCGCTCAACGATCCTCGATACGCGTACAGTTAACCATAGCGGGGAGTAGCATCGATAAACTAACAACACGGAGCCTCCTCGTTTGGTTAAACCACCATAAATCCGGCCAACTCGTCACTATCTGCTAACTGGTTTGGTCTACGCTGCCAGCCGCGATATTCATCTATCACGTGGCATCTGACACACGTTTGTCATCTGACGTCACCTTTGCACCGCCAGCTATCGCTCGTGCTCGCCTCTGTGAAATTTCACTGTTATTTTCAATCGCTGCGGCTGGCGAGCTTCCGATCGACGACAGTCACGCCCGTCCCCAATCAAATTCATTATCATCTCCAGACGAGATTAGTATATTCTCTTCTGAGATACATAGTTTGTCGATTTTAGTCCAACAGAATCAAAAGTGATGTATTTACATATAAAAGAAGGAGAGACATATCTTGTTGAGAATTTTGCATCTTAATAAATAATGGTATAGGAATACTAAATTTACATTTAGAATTCATATTAGAATAGTTATATATTTATTTGATAAACGGTTTCAAAGATATTCATCGATACACACCTGCACGCATGACTGTTAATTGAACAGTTTATATTCATTTGATTTTCGAGATACACATACTCCCACGCACTGCACATATTCACATACGAGTATCACTACTACGCAGCTAACCTAGTCTAGCACATAAAATTCTACATATCTCAGTATATTTATCATAATTATTAGGTTGTTTTATTAAGCTCAGTTCTGTTAGGTTTTAGCCTTCTCGAGGAGGATTCTGGTCTTTTAACGACGAACGCGATAGCAGATGTAGGTTAATGACAGATATTAAAAAATATAACACGTTATACTAGCATGCCGTGTCGCAATTTAAGAACACGAAGTGTTAACTCACGAAGGACAGAAGAATGGTTCGTCGTAATTTCGTAATTACATCAATTTCTTTATATTTCATAAAATCGCCAGGTCTAAACGGAAGAAACAACCACGATGAAATATCAAACGAGTGTTTAGAATGCTCTTTTATAGCCACGCTCTTCGGAGGTAGAATTTCATGATGTAGGTTGATCGAATTACGCAGTACCCTGACCTTGATAACATATTCCGAGCTCCTCCTCGTTCTAATTATCTAATTGTTCTACTCTCGCCAAAGTTGCTATTAAAAAACTCTACGAATTGTCCAGCAGTTTGTCTACACGAGATAGGAATCCTGACTTGGCTCGAACGCTTCTAAGTCGAAGTGACAACTTAGGGAAAGTCTGAAGCTAAGACTGAAAGAAATCGTGCAGTACCCTGACCTTGATAACATACTCCGAGCTCATAAAAATCCACCAGCTCCTCCTCGTTCTAAACACCTAATTGTCCTGCTCTCATCAAAGTTGCTATTAACAACAAACAAAGTTGCTGCAATCCTGACTTGGCTTGAACACTTCGAAGGCGAAGTGACAACAAAGTGGAAAATAAGACAGACAGAAATCGTGCAGTACCCTGACCTTGATAACATACTCCGAGCTCATAAAAATCCACCAGCTCCTCCTCGTTCTAAACACCTAATTGTCCTGCTCTCATCAAAGTTGCTATTAACAACAAACAAAGTTGCTGCAATCCTGACTTGGCTTGAACACTTCGAAGGCGAAGTGACAACAAAGTGGAGAATAAGACCGACAGAAATCGTGCAGTACCCTGACCTTGATAACATACTCCGAGCTCATAAAAATCCACCAGCTCCTCCTCGTTCTACTCTCATCAAAGTTGCTATTAAAACACTCTACAAATTGTCCAGCAGTTTGTCTACACGAGATAGGAATCCTGACTTGGCTCGAACGCTTCGAAAGTCGAAGTGACAACTTAGGGAAAGTCTGAAACTAAGACCGACAGAAATCGTGCAGTACCCTGACCTTGATAACATACTCCGAGCTCATAAAAATCTACCGACTGTTCCTTATTGCAAATATCTAATTATCTCGCTAGGAAGAAATTCCGCGAATTGCTGCAATTTGTCCTCGCAAGATCAGAATCTTCACTTGGCTGGGGGAAGAAGAAGGCGCAACTTGGCGGCGGCAGCGACGATTGGAATAACAAAAGCTTTGAAATCTGACGTCGTCAGCCAAACTGGCTGAGAAGGTTCACGGAGGCGACGTGAAAAAGCACTCTTACCAGCGAGAGCCAAGTGAAATTACATAGAAAGTCTATCAGTAGACGGATATTACGGTCCTCCCCGGGGCAACTTTATCGCCGACTCACGCTCCGATAATCGCGCGTCTCTG